TTTTGGCAGCATGTTGATTCTGTATCCTAACCGTAAGACCACACAGAGGCATGGCTAGTAAACCTTAGCTTGTGCATAAATGCATGCCACGACCTGCTAAATAATGTTGTTTAAAAAGGAAAAAAAATAACTTTTTTTTTTTTCCAATTTAAATTTCAGGGAGCTGCTCAAGGGCAGTTCAACTTACTATTCCTCTTTCTCTCTACCAGCCAGGACTGGCCTCATTCTAACATCTGTCCTATGGCCATGTTTTATCGGATATTTGAGGATCATTCCCATGAAGTGACATTGGAATGTGGGGATGTGGCAATTTTCAGATGCCAAATGAACTTGGATAGAAATCATTTTTCCTGTGTGTGTTTACAGTTAGGAACATGTGGCTGTGAGGGGCTCCCTCACATGACCCTGGAGCTGTCAGCCCTTGTTCAGTGGTCAGATGTGCTTCAGACCCCCCAGAGTGCTAATCACACACTCGGTCACAGCCCCGTGCACACCTCAGTGCCACTGCTCCAGAGTCCAGGGTAATTCCTCAGGCAGCACAGTCCTGGAGCAGGCCACGAGAGGTGTAAGACGCAGACTTCGTTGTGAGGTTACATTTAGGCTTCTGCTCTATCTTGTCTCTGTTTAAAGATCAATACATCAGGCAGCCTTCATCCCCACCATGATAAATGCATGGATGGAAAGATACATGTGTTGATGGATGAATGGGTGAGTGGGTGGGAGGGTGGGTGGATGGATGGGTGAGTGGATGGATTGATGGATGGGTGAGTGGGTGGGTGGGTGGGTGGATTGATGGATGAGTGAGTGGGTGGGTGGGTGGGTGGATAGATGGATGGATGGGTGAGTGGGTGGTTGGATGGATGGATGGGTAGATGGGTGGATGGAGTGATATTTGATTTCATAGTCAAAGAAGTCAAACAGTAGAGAAGTACACAGGATCCCCCGGTCTTACAGCCCTTCCTTAAAGTAACTACAAAAAGATGGAAGTGTATCTTGCAGATTTCTTTTAAAAGCATATTTAAAGTGTAAACATGTTATGGTCAGGTGCAGTGACTCATACCTGTAATCTTTACACTTTGGGAGGCCAAGGTGAGTGGATTGCTTGATGCCAGGAGTTTGAGACCAGCCTCAGCAACATAGAAAAACCTTGTCCCTATAAAAAAAAAAATTGAAAATTAGCCTGGTGTGATGGCTCATGCCATCACAGGACTTACTCAGATGGACTGAGCAGTCCTAGCTACCCAGGACACCAAGGTGGGAGGATCACTTGAGCCCAGAAATTCGTGTCTGCAGCGAGCCATGATCATACCACTGCACTCAAGTCTGGGCAATGGATCAAGATCCTGTCTCTTAAAAAAGAAAAGCATATTTACATAGAAATAAATGTTTATAAACATAGATATTGTTTGGGGTTTGTTTTTATGTAAATTGGGGAATCACACATTATTTCATGAGTTTTTTTTTTAACCCTATGCTTAAAAGATCCTTTCGAAAGCTTAACACATATACAGCGACTTCATTCTTTTTAACCATCAGAAGGGACTGTAATTAATTTATGTGCTTTCTGTTATTTTTATTGTTCTGCTATTGTATTTATTTATTTATTTTAGAAAGAGGGTGTCACTATGTTACCCAGGCTGGCCTCGAACTCCTGGGCTCAAGCAGTCCTCCCACCTCAGCCTCCCAAGTAGCTGGCACTACAGCCATGAACTCTGCAACATGGCTGGCTTCTACTATTTAGACGTGTGTGTGTGTGTGTGTGTGTGTGCGCGCGTGTGCGCGCACATGTGTATGTGTGTTTTCTAATGGGAACAATCTGAATTTCAATTTTAAGAGATTTTCTTGAGCTATAATTATTCCAGTCCAAGCCCAGGCACATGAAGATTTCTGTAAAATAGATTGAAGGCAGTGGAATTACTGTGCCCTAAGGTATGTGTACTTAAATTCTGATACGCGAGGCTATACCAGTTTACACTGCTACTAAAGTATATAAAGTCCTGTTTCTTATGTTCTATAAATTCCTATGTCCAATACTGGACATAACCCATATTTTCAATGTTGGGTGATCTGATGAGTTAAAAAAAAATAGATCTCATTAATTTGTAATTTCCTGATTACTAAATTACTAATAAGTACTAATGAATATCTTAGATAGGGGATTTATCATTCACGAATTGCCTGTTCTGCCCCTTGCCTGTTTTGAAACTGGGTTATTGATCTTTTTTACATTGTTTTACAGCAATGCTTACATAATATGGACATTAAACTTTTGTTGTAAATGTTATAACATTCTGTCTCTTTAATTGTGTTTATGGTATATTAAGTATTACCAAGTTTTTAATGTTTAACTATTATTTTTTATAAAATTAAATACCTCTTTTCCCCCATGGCACCTACACTTAGTGGTTTTGCTTAGAAAAGGTCTTCCTCACCCTCTGAGCTTGAAAAAAAATCTTGTATTCTCCTATTTATAATTTTAAAAAATATTTACAGCTTTAATTTATCTGCACTTCACTTATTATATAATGTGAGGGTACCATGTCATTTTTTTTTTTTTTTTAAGACAGAATCTTACTCTGTCTTGCCCAGGCCAGAGGGCAGTGGCTCACTACAACTTCCACCTCTTGGGTTCAAGCGATTCTCCTGCCTCAGCCTCCTGAGTAGCTAAGATTATAAGCGCATGCCACACACCCACCTAATTTTTGTATTTTTAGTAGAGACGGGATTTTGCTATGTTGGTCAGGCTGGTCTTGAACTCCTGACCTCGTGATCTGCCCACCTTGGCCTCCCAAAGTGCTGGGATTACAGGCATTAGCCACTGCCCCCAGCCCCATTTTTGATAACTCATTTATTGACCACTGACTTATAATGTCCCCTGTGAGACAGCTCGTAAATTCCCACATGTGTATGGGTGTGTCTGTGGTTATTCTCATCCATTGATCTGTTTGTCTATTCTGTGCTAAACTCTGTTCTACTGCTGTAACTTCTGGTATGTCAGATTTTTTGTCATTCTTTTTAAAAATCATCTTCCTATGCATTTTTTTAATATAAACTTTAGAATAAACATGTCCTTTCTTTTTTAAAAGTTTGAAACTTTGGGATTATATTGACATTTTAGATTAATTAGAAGAAAGCATCATTTTTTTAGCAGCTTTTTTTTTTTTTTTTTTTTTTTAGATGGAGTCTCTTGCTCTGTTTCCCAGGTTGGAATGCAGTGGTATGATCTCGGCTCACTGCAACCTCCACCTCCTGGGTTCAAGTGATTCTTGTGCCTCAGCCTCCCAAGTAGTTGAGACTACAGGTGCACACAACCACGCCTGGCTCATTTTTGTATTTTTAGTAGCGATCAGGTTTCACCACATTACCCAGGCTAGTGTCAAGCTCCTGACCTCGTGATCCACCCGCCTCAGCCTTCCAAAGTGCTAGGATTATAGGCGTGAGCCACCACATCCAGCCTTTTTCTGAAGTTTTTTTTTTAATTTTTCTAAATTGACATGTAGTCAGAAAACTAAGTTTAAAAATTGAATTCTTAGAGTTTTTAAAGCCTGGAAGAACATGCAAAATGAAGCTGAATGACTTTATAACCTGAGTGTCAGGAAAAGCTCTTCAGCTATCTACAACTCAAAAGCCAGATACAGTAAGATAAAGTATTGATATAATTTGAATACATAAGAAATTGAAACTTATTCATGGCAAAAGTTTGCATAAGAAAAGTCAAGTCAGGTGTGGTGGCTTATGCCTGTGATCCGAGCACTTTGGAAGACTGAGGCAGGAAGATTGCCTTAGCCAGGATTTCAAGACCAGCCTGGCAACAAAGTGGGACCCTGGCTCTACAAAAGATCCAAAAATTAACTATGTGAGGTGATGCACATCTGTGGTCCCAGCTACCTGGGAAGGCGAGGCTGGAGGATTGCCTGAGTCCGGGAGACTGAGGCTGCAGTGAGCTGTGTTTGTAGCAATGCACTCCAACCTGGGTGACAGAGCAAGACCCTATCTCAAGAAAAGAAAAAAACATAAATCATAATAATACCTGCTTCACTGTTGTGGAGAGAATTAAGTAGTATGCCTGGTATGAATAATAAATTGTTATAATTATATACAATATTGTTGATAGTATCATTTCATATATATACAAATATCAGAAATAATAGCGTTCCTCCCTTTTGAAATTCATCTAAGAGTCCCTTGCTGGCCCAGACCTGAGTAGAAGCATGTTTGTATTGAGAAGACAACAGTTTTAAGTTGTAACTAAGAGAAGTCTTTTCTTTTTCCATTCTAAAAATACTTACAGAATAAACCCATTTTTTTCTTTTTCGTACCACACCACCAGGATAGCTTTCCACCTTGCAACATTCCTTGGTGTGACTGCTTAAGTTCCTTCAAATATAACTCTGTAATTATAATTATATAATCACAATAATTGCGATTCTTTAATTGTAATTGATTAATTTAATCTACCTTATCATCCAATAGGTGAGCTCTAAAGTCCCATCAATTTGAAACTGCTTATTCACTTGGTATTCCATACAAAGTACCTATGCTGGGTAGATAGGATAGCACGGCCTGGCTCTCACCATTGGTGTCCCAATTAAAACTCATGTATGTATTTATGTATCCTCTGCCTTATGCTGACAGTATTGGAAGTGGCAAGCTAAGATTAGGATTCTCGGCTCCTATATCACAGACTGGCAAGCTTCCCACCCTGCCCACTGAATGTTCTGCCACAGTGGGTGCTTCACCTGTGTCCTGCCTCTAATGGGACATGTGGCTACTAAGCACTTGAGCTCCAGTGTGACTCAGAACTGAATGTTTCATTGTACTGAATTTTATTTCGTGTTAATTTAAAAAGCCATGTGTGCTGTACGGACGGGGCGCATTTGGACAACACAGCTCTTGACCATTTGTTTTTAAATACAGTTTCATGTCTATACAAACAGGTTTTTGCTGTCCTGTGTGGTCAGCTATTCTGAATGCTAAATTGCTTTTCCATCTCTCTCTAGATTCCATCACCCAGCACAAGGTCTGTGCCCCTGAAAACTACCTGCTGCCACAGTGACCCCACTGGCATGGGTGGTGACTGCACACCGCTCACAACACTGTCTTTGGACATTCAAATGAGAAACAAAACTGTGAAGGAAGGAACTGACGAATACAGGATGACTTCGGATATCACGTTTGCCACGTGTGGTGGTTCTTATCATAAGAACTCTCAGGTGACTTTCTGATGACTGAATTTGTTCAGAGAAGTTTTAGATGGCTGGTGCTCCTTTTCAGACCTTTTGTTTTTCTTTTTCTTTTTTTTTTCTTTGAGGCAGAGTCTTGCTCTGTTGCCCAGTCTGGAGTACAATGGCACGATCTCAGTTCACTACAACCTCTACCTCCCAGGTTCAAGCAATTCTTCTGCTTCAGCCTCTCAAGTAGCTGGGATTATAGGCATGCACCACCACACCCTGCTGATTTTTGTGTTTTTGGTAGAGGAGAGGTTTTGCTATGTTAGCCAGGCTTGTCTCAAATGCCTGACCTCAGCTGATCCATTGGGCCTTTTCTATAAAATGGCAGTTTTTTGTATCTTAGTAGTGAGCAGAATTGAAAGGTCTCAGAACCTTTGTCGTTAGAACACTGTACTGCCAAATAAAGAATGGAAATTCCTTGACATTGTTTTATTACTGAGAACAACTAGAGAACTCTGAAAGTTTCTTGGCTTAGACTCGAAGATCTTCATTAATACATTATCTACTAGGTAGAAAGGACATTTATCAGTTATTAAGGTGACTTTTATCTAGCTGAGATTCCTCTCCCAAAGCAATGAAAGAAGACAGGTATGGAGGGTGTAATATAGGATGACTGGTACCATCTGAGTGTCTTGCTTCTGCAAGCCTGCTATATGGTAAGCAGAGCATCACCAGCAAGGGATCACAATGTCCACTGGCCACTTCTTGCTCGCCATCCTCCAGAGGAAACTGGCAGCTGGGGCTGATTCACGGAAACACCGATTTGTGGCTGGGTTTTGGCCACGCTAATAGGGGTGTAGCCGTACCTCACTGTTGCTTTCATCTTCAGTTCCCGAGCCAGGCACGGTGGCTCATGCCTGTAATCCCAGCACTTTGGGAGGCTGAGGTGGACAGATCACTTGAGGTCAGGAGTTCGAGACCAGCCTGGCCAACGTGGCGAAATCCCATCTTTACTACAAATACAAAAATTAGCTGGATGTGGTGGCAGGCACCTGTGGTCCCAGCTCCGTAGGAGGCCAAGGCAGGAGAATTGCTTGAACCCCTTAGGCAGAGGTTGCAGTCAGCCAAGGTTGCAATGAATCAAGATTGCTCCACTGCACTCCAGCCTGAGTGACAGAGCAACTCTCCGTCTCAAATAAAGAAATAAGAAACACCGATGTGTCTGTCATCTTCTAAACAAATGAAATGCTAGGAAGTCCTAGCCAGAGTGATCAGGCAAGAATAAGTCATAAAAGGCATCTAAATAGGAAAAGAAGTCAAACTGTCTCTCTTCACTGCCGCTATGATTCTATACCTAGAAAACCCTAAGGACTCTGCCAGAAGGTTCCTGGAACCAATAAATGACTTTAGTAAAGTTTCGTGCATAGAAAATCCATGAACAAAAATCAGCATTTCCAAACACAATAACATGCAAGCTGAGCGCCAAATCAAGAACACGGTCCCATTTCCAATAACCACAGAATGAAATACCTAGGAACACGTGTAACCAAGGAGGCGAAGCATGCAACAAGCAGAACCATCAACGAGATGCTGAGTCCCAGAGAGGTCAGAGGTGCCACTGAGCCCTCGTCATGATCTGTTCCCGCTCCAGGTTATTCATCTGTTGCTCATCTCAGCTATTGTTCCTACCTCAAATTTCAAGTCCCTCAACAAATATAACAGATCAACTTCTAGAATGAACCTTTGAGAAAGGAGGTAGCATTGTATTCTATAGAAACTGGCATGCTATAGAAAACTATAGACACTGGCAATAATGAAGGGGTTTCTACTTCCACCCCCTCTTCTCCAATTAGGAAACATTGTGATTACATCGATTACCTTAGTCTCCCCAGAATAATCCAGGAGGACTTCTTTGTTTTAAAGTCAGCCGATTAGTACATTTTCCGCCTACCACCTGAATCCCCCTTGGCCGTGAAAGGAAACATATTCACAGATTTTCAGATTAGAACATCTTTGAGGAAACCTTACTTTGCTGCCAACACTGGCCCCTGATTGCCTCACACTAAATCCAAGATGGATGCACTGATCAGGGGTTCTCAGTGGCACCCAGCCTGAGACCTTAGAGGAGCCATTTGTCTTCTCAGAGCTATGCTTTCCTCAAATAGAAATATTCACAATAACCCCTGTCTCATGCCTGAGAGCACAGGATGACGGCTGGGGGTTGATGCCCTTCTGAAAGGAGGAACAAGCAAAGGCATCTCAGTTTGCAGTATTCAGTGAGTTATGCCAATGCAAAGACTTGGATCCGACACTGACTGGTAGGAACCCCCAGCTCAGATTAAGGAATGCACAGCCAACAGGCCTGGCTCCAAACAATTCAAACAATGGGGAAAGAATGGAGGATATTTTTACTTCTAATTATTGTGTCTGTTTGACAAATACTTAATTGACCATAATGTCAGGCTGGAATTTGCCTATTTTAACGTTATCTGTGGTTTTAATTAAACTGCTATGTTTCATGTTCTTAATACTAATTCGTCTACTACTTTATTTAAAGCTATACATTTTTGTGCCAGGAAGACAATATTTACTTTTATCCCTCTAATTTTTGGCCTTTTAGCGAAGACAATAATTAGAATTATTGACCTGACACTACACAAGAGCATACAAATATTCTTCAGGCTAAACTATCATTTTGTTTGGTGTGAGTTCCCAGTCTAGGCATTAATACTTTCCCAAAGCGTCAGGACCTTCCAAGGACTAAGCTCCACCTAGAGCTCTAAGATACTGGAGGGAGCTGTCAATTTCATTAATCTGGTTTCAATTTTTTAAATGTTTGGATTCACAGCTTATCTATGGGAATACGTAGTTGTTCCATCTTTAATATTCCAGAGAAACAATTTGCCGAAAAAGCTAATTCAGTATTCTCTCCTGTGAGCCAGCCACTGAAACCGCAGCCAATGCTGAGGAGTGAGGGCTCCAGGGGAGGAACGCCATCCTGGGGTTCTCTGGGCCACCGTCTATCAACAGCGAGATGAAAACGAGGGGCAACAGCGCAGCCCTGTTGGCCCATGGCTGCCCCAGGGGCCCTGGGAGAGCGGGAAAGGAAGACACTGCCAGACCTCAGAGCTGGCACCAGGACCCAGCTATCAGCCAGATAATGTACTCAGCCACCAGCGAGACATCCGACTGTGAACTTATTGGGAACTGGTCACAGGAAAGAAAAGGACTCTTTGTCCTGAGTGTGTGATGCCGTGGTGGTGAGGGCTGCGGGGCTGTGACTCACACGATGCCACAAGGATTGTTCCAAAAACAACTGGGGATGCTGTGTGGAGACAGGGCTGAGGGCACGGTAGGAGGTAGAGGGCTCGAGACTGGCCTCCTTTTCTAGGGGTGGTGAAAGACTGTCACCTCATCTTGTGGCCGCAGAGCCCAGAGGAGGCGTGGCGTAGCAGTTAGAGACTTACGGAGGAATTCTGCTGTTTTTAACTCCTTGGCATTTTGCTTCTCTTGAGCAACTCTCACACCACCCCTTTTTAAAGATTTATTAGGTTCAGGGGCTACTTTATAAGATCCTTTGAGCCCATATTAGGCTTCAGCACATAATATATCTGTGCTTGAGGAGTTTAGGGGTTTAACTTCTCAATAAAGGAGCAAAGAGATTTGGTAAAATGTCCCCCATGGCCCCTAATGTTGATGGACCCACTGAACTTAGTCTGTCACCTGAGACAAAAGGATACTATTTTAAAGAGATGAGGATGTTTTCCACATTACTGTTCAAAGCAATGACTTTGCACCTTCATCTACTGAAGGCCTCCTCTCCACCTGGTCTGCCCACCCTGGATCCACAGGGCTTATGCTGCCCTCTCCCTGCCTGCAGTCACCTTCCAGCAAATGTTGGAGTTTGAGTCACACCAAACAGAAATAGCCAAAATTCATAAGAAGTCTATTGGGCACCTCTTCTGTATGAATGGCCGTACAGGCTCCAAGGGCCAGAAGTAACTAAGACAGAGGACCTATCTTGGGGAGCTGACAGCCTTGAAGGCGGATGAGTTTGGAAAACAGATGACGGCACCGTGTGGTAAGTTCACTATAGACCAGGGGAGAGAGACAACTTTGAGAAAGGGTGATTGGTTTTAAAAGGAAAGGAAAAGAGCTTGGGAAGTGCTTCCAGAAGACATTGACATCTAAGTTAGGTGGGTTTTGTTTTTTTAGCTGGGGTCTCACTGTGTTGCCCAGTCTAGAGTGCAGTGGCTATACAGAGGCGTGATCGTAGTTCACTGCAGCCCCGAGCTCCTGGACTCAAGCAATCCTCCTGCCTCAGCCTCCTGAGTGGCTGGAACTACAGGTGCATGCCACCATGCCTGGCTCTCCAACGTAGGTTTCAAAGGAAGTCTAGGACTTCAGAGAGGAAAAGAGACCAAGGAAGAGGCCTGTGTACAGTCCTGAAGGTAAGGGGAGATCCAGGGGCTTCAGAATTGCTGGAGCTTCCAGCGGGAGGGCACGGTGAGGGGACGCAGGTCAGATATGAGCATTGGCTAGTTAAGAGAGCCTCTCGAAATTTTCCAGACAAGAAATGCTCAGGTGTTGAATGCAGTGCTCACAGAGGTGGAAAGGAGGAGGTGGATTAGAGGGGTGCTTTGGAGATGAAATTCATAGGACTTGTTGCCTGAGTGGCTATGCAGGAGGAGCAGGGGGACAGGGTTGAGCTGGATGAGTCTCGGGCTCAGGCATAAAGTGTCAGCAGTCTTGGGAGGACCCACATCCTCACAGGAACCAGCTCCTTCAGCTAAAGGGAAAAAGCACTCGGAGCGTCAGCCAGCCCAGAGCCTGCCCTCTGTAGACATAAAGAGGCCAAGTTCTTGTTGCTAAAGGCATCCAGCAGAGAAGTGTGGGAGGGCCAATTAAAGGCAAAGCCTGCCATTTTATAACCACATTTTTGGCATATTAAACATTCTAGCATGTGATTGTCAGACTTCTAAACTGAGCCACTTGTGTTATCCAAGAAAGTACATCAGTGGCTTAGGTTTCCAGCAACATAATGAGCATTATAATGGATACCTGAAAATGCAGAGTGACTGATAGAGAATTGCCTTGGGAATCATGGATAAAGTCTAAAAAAAAAAGGTGGAGAACTGTTCAACAACTGGAGATAAGGTGGAGAAGTGGGTTGACGTGGAAGCTGGGGAATGTTACAGTGACCGTGCATTGTGTACACACAGGATGTGTGTGCATCTATATGTGTGTGTGTCTGTGTGTGCATGTGTGTATACGTGCATTCATGTGTGTGTGTGATGTCAGTGGGTGAGGACAGGGGCGTTGGAATGGAGACCAACCTGATAAAGCTGACATTCTGGAAGGGTTAGACTCCCAGGAGGAAAGTTAAGAAGGGGAAGGATAACGTCTGCCCAAAGGAAATCAGAAAACAACATCCTTTGTCAGCAACATCCTTAGACACCTGGAAGAAGCAGACACACATCTTCCAGGAAGAATGTCCCTCAACATGAGCTTCTGGTGATTCTCACCAATACCGTGACCGTCAATTTGAATGTGCATGCGTGCACACACACACACACACACATATGCACAAACTTCCAAATAAATCGTCAAGACAGTCATTAGGAAAAATGAGCAACAGGACAAGACAGACTAAGACTTTGGCTGTTGGCGTCATCCGATATGGATGATACACATTTAAAGAAATAAAAGAACAAAAAACCATGAAAAAGGAACAAGAATAGTAAGATCGAATTGACAAGGAGGCAGACAGAACTTACAGAAAAACGTTTTTTAAACTTAGCATTTCATATTGTTTAAAAACACTTTCAGATCCCCACATAAGAATAGATGGCCTGGGTAGCAAACCCAAGCCAAGAGAGCCTTATGAGTTCCAAACTGTAAGCAGGTAGGGGCAAACCACCACCAGCCACAAGCCCCATGTGGTTCCAGCATCTGCAGGGGTGGAAGAAGGAAGCTCCCGGCGGCAGTAGCCCAGCCTGGGAACAGTAGAACCCCACACAGCTGAGGGTTATTCTCCATCTTTCACTCTGTATTACCAGGAAGCCCAGCAAGACCAATTAGAGGACAGTGCCTGGGTGTTGCCCAATGCAATCTCATGTGAGAGCAAAGGGGCCGCAGCAGGAAGGGCCCAAGTGTCTGGAGCTACCCCCCGAAAACTCTCCAAAGTCACCCATCTGAGTGCCAGTCCAGGCGGGGGCCCTGCCCCAAGGAGAAATTCCTGGGAGTAGAATCAAAATCAATCAAGACAGGCATGACAGACAAGAGAAAAAGAAGGTCGACACCAGGTTGGCACATCTCTCGATTAAGGACCCGAGAGTAAATATCTTAGGCTTTGAAGGCCAGACAGTCTTGCTGCTTCTACTCAGCCCTGTGGTTACAAGGTAAAAGCAGTCACAGATAACATGTAAATCAATGGGCATTGCTGTGTGCCAATAAACATTTATGAACACTGAAGTTTGAATTGTATGTAATTTTCATGTGTGACAAAATAGTATTCTTTTGTTTCTTTGTTTCAACCATTTAAAAATGTAAAAAACGTTTTTAGCGCACAGGCTACACAAAACTGGTGGTGAGCCAGAACTGGTTTTCTGTCTCCTGGTCTGAATGGAAGAGGGTTTGAGAAAAAGACAGGGAAACTCAAGACAGGAAGCCCTGCTACTTTCGGACATTACCAAAAACATCAGGGGGCGAGCCCTGCCAAGGCAGAAGAGCCCTCTTAAACCCAGACACAGCCTAAAGGCTCAGGCAAATTAATTTCACATCAAGATAAGCAACAGAAATTATCCAGGTCAAATCCAATACAAAACTATTGTAAGAAAAAGATCGTCAGAAGCAGAATAACATCCCAACAGACGACAAGAGCAGACACAAAGATGTGGCCATCACGGGCCTTAGAAAGCCGGAAATGCAGCGTCAGAAGCTGAGGTTCTCCCTGGACTTCCCCTGCCCTCCTGCACCTCACCCCTCATGCTCCCCTGACGGAAGCCGTAGAAACTAGAATTCCTCTTCTCCAAGGTGAGTCATAAAAACCAGAACCCCTTTGCTTCAAGGCCAGTCATAAAGCCTAAAAATACGACTCTAGCCTCCCTCTGCTTTTCTGTGTAACAGCTGGCAATAAAGAAATTAAGACCCTCACTGTAGAGGGGCCAACCTTATGCCCAGGAGGAGGGAATACACAGAGAGGCTGAGAAAGATCTGAACGTGGAGGCCTCTCTCCACCCGTCTATTACATTCCATCTGGCTGAAACTTCAGCAGTGAAAATGGACTTTATTTAAACTGTTACACCCTTCTCTCCACCACCCCATCTCCTGCCTGGCAATCCTCAACTGCCCCCCCTCACTTCCTTAACAGTGCTGGTGGGAGCACCCGACAGCCAGCCAGGGCAGTGCTCCCGTGTCCAGGATGTGGGGTGTCAGTGGAGACTGCTTAGATCTTTTAACATCAAGAAAAGATATTTTATGATTGGATTTTTTTTTTTTTTTTTTTTTTTTTTTTTTTTGAAACGG